CATCCTTACCTGGGAATCAGCTCGACTGAACTGACATGATGCTCTTAAGTCTTTCAGAAACAGAATATTTAATATACATTAAAATGCTCAATTAAATTGTGATCTGGGGATGCTATTGATAATTAAAGGCTGCTCATCAATTCTCACAAAAGTAACAATCTTAAGTGCGGTAGACTTGTTTCCAAGCAAAACTATAGGATTGACTACTAAATGTTTATTCACACTAGCACATTCAACAGTCAGGGAATTGCAGCTGTGAAAACTCACCAGAGACTCAAGGCCACAATGAATATACTTTCCAATGTGGTCAAGTCACACATTCAGTTGCCAGTTATTAATAATTTCATGCAGAAAAAAAAAACCTGAGGCCCTATATCAGTGATGGCTAACCTTTTTGTTGCGTGCTGAAAGTGTGTGCGTACACACGCAAGAGCATGCACATGTGCCTGCACCCATAATGCAATGCATGTGTGACCTACCTGCATGCTCCCCCGCCCCCTGGGCATGTGTGCAGGACCCCCCATGCTCCTCCCATCCCCCTGCGCATACACATGCGTCTCCCGTACACACCCTGCCCCCCACACATGCGTGGCAGATACCCAAAAATCAGCTGGCTATTGGGGAGGCGCGCGCACATGCACAATAGAACTGAGCTGGGGCAACGGCTCCTGTGCATGCAGAGATGACTGCGTGCCACTTCCGGCACGCATGCCATCGGTTTGCCCTACAGGAACAATGGTACTAAGTGTTCTGGTTACATTCTAGGGTCAGTCAACTTAAAAACAATTATTGGACATTTACAGGCATGCCATGGGGCCTTGTTTCTGTTAACATGTTTTTTCTTTCTGAAAACAAAATTTAACATCCTTTACTTTTAACAATTTAGAGAAATCAGACTGCAGCAAAAATATCAATACACTGTAAATTATTTAAAGTGTATTATTCTCATGTTATATATGGCCTCAGATCCAACTGTTGCTGATAATTTTGTATTTTTACCTTATTGAATGGCAAACACAATCAATGTATTAATTTTTTTAAAAACATTTCTTCACTTCTCCTAAATTCTGAAGCAGTGTGAGAAATGAGTCCACCAAAGCCAGGGTCAATGCAGCAGTAGCCATGAACAATACAAACTCTATTTTGTAAAAAAGAAAAAACATGGAATCTCAATATTGGGCAGTTCTCTGAATGAGACCTGACCAGGGCTGAGTACTGAGGAACAATTACGGCTAGTGCCTTGAACTCTATATATCTGTTACTGCATGTGAAGATAGCATCAGCCTTTTTTCACAACTCAATCACACATCTGGCTCATGTTTAATTTATGGTCACCAAAAATTCCTTTTGTATGCTCTATTGCCCCCCCCCCCCCCCAGGTTTCCTCCATCCTATATTTGGGCCTTACATTTTTCCTAACTTGCTGCATAATTTTGCAGTTCTGCTTATTAAATTCCATCCTGTTCATTTAGTTTGTGGTACATCTTGCTGAATTTTCTCTTTCATCTAAAATATTATGAACCTCACCCAGCTTTCTGCCACCTGCAAACTGAGTAAGTAGCCCATCGATTTCCTCATCAAAGTTATTCATCAAAATTTTGAACTGTGGAGGCGGCCTAGCACAGAGCCTATTGGCATCCTACTTAATACTTCCTTTAAGCTGAAGTGGAGCCCATAAGCACTCCTCAGTGCAGTCATTCAGCCAACTGAATCCATTTAACTATAGTATCATTATATTTACTTTGAAATAGATCAGAATATAAAATTAAATTTTTAAATGGGTCATAATTCTAAATTCCAATTATTTTTTTAAATAATTCTTAGAACTTGAGATTTCATCCCACTTCTGATTTTCAAAACATAACCATAAAATTATGATTAAATTGAAGGGCTCTTAATTACATTCTTAATCACTTTGAACTTTTCTGTTTATGAATAACTGAATTATTTACCTATACTGTTGGGTCTTATATCACTTCCAACTCTCAAAAGGTTTATTTTTATTTAGCCCAGTAGTCATCCTCTGATCTAATATATATTGTGACAGATGTTGGAATGCTGCTGAAAATAGCAATTTTCTCTTGCAGTCAACCCACATTCTGCTTATACAGTACTCCATTATGTCATAAGCTGTTTTCTTTTCCCACTGTCTGCTCTGTTCATGGAATAACCCATAACTAAACATAAGCATAAATAAATGTAGTGTTTACCTGGGGAGCCCCTAGGCACCAGCCCTTGTCCTTGAGTTGCCACTTCTTTATTACTGCTTCTGCACATTCATTTGCACTCTCGTTTAGACCCAATCCACAATGGCCCATTTTTCATTGGTTGCCCTGTCAGGTGGAGAGGGCAGTAGAATTGGGAAAAGCACAGTCCCTAGTTGTGGAAGTTGACAAAAGATTCCCTGAATAACTGGTTCTTGGAAAGTGGCCAGCAATGCCAATCCTGAGTAGATGTCAAAGTCTTTGGCTTTGCCAAAAAGGATGGTGAGGTCCATATGACCCTGACAACTTGGAGAACTTTTAATTTTGGATAATGTGGATGAATGCTTAGCTAGAGTTTTCAGTTTGGATCTTTTTTTCCCTCCTTGCAGTGTTTGCACCTGAATACAATGATTAATTAACTAAGCAAAAAGACACTTTGAAGTGTTCAAATTATCTTTCCAAGATTCCTTTCTGACAACTTAATTAAACTATATATCTTGAAATTAAATCAACAAATCTGATTATACAAGGGAAGGATATACCAGGCTCCTTGAATTAACCAAAGTAGGGAAATCATACAGACCATGGCTTCTAGAATTCATTTTTCTCTCTCTTGAATTTCTGTCTTCCTAGCCCTACCAGATTTGCCCACTTTTGATCAATGTTTCTATTCTCCCCCAAAAGCAAATTTGCTTCCATTCTGTTCAGTGTTTGGAGTCATTATTCTGTTCTGTTTTGGGAGAGTGATCCTGTTGAGGGAAGCTCATGACACTTCACAGAATTTCTGTCACACATTTCTTTGGGTTGACAAGAATAATCCATAATGCTTGTGGAAGATGGCTATTTACTTATAATTAAGGAACAATTTATCTCCAAGGATGTAGGTTGAACTAGGAATTTGTGACCTTTCCTGTCAATGAAGGCAAACTGTGAACCATAATCCATTTTTTGGCTTCTTTTCTTTTCTTCAGGCAATTTCTTTAAAAAAAAAAAAGAGAAAATGTGCCTGCTTCTTGAAAACATTGTGGTTATTATTTCTGGTTATCAGGAGCCATGATATCTTGCAGTTTTGTTTATTAATTTCTACTACTTTTTAGATTTAAAACACTCCAGAAGAAAGTGTAAAATCTTAACACGTAATGTAGAAATGTAATAAACTTAAAATTATCATTCTCCTGCAGTAGCCCAGAAAGAAAACATTCATGTTTTAATTGCATGTGTTATAATCACTGCATTCTTGCACATTAATAATCAGCAAGGGAAGGAGAAAAAGAGCAACATGAAAACTGGTGCAATAAATGCACCGTGGTCTGTAAAAACAACTTTGGAAGTAAAGCAAGGAAAGATTGACTGGTCATCAGAATAATACTATTATGCAACAAGGTTTAAGAACTCTGTTATAATTCTTAAGACAATATTGCACTGCTTACAACATATAGTTCTATCTAAAGTGGAAAAAAGAAATATTAATTTGTATTTAAAGGAAAGAAAAAAAATGTAATATTTCAAACACAATGATCCAAACCTATTAAGTTTTATCCATTATTTCCATTCACAGAATGTAGCTGGAACATTTTCATTTAATTTCAAGCCAATTTTCATTCCATGAGAGTTGAGAACTTTTAGTCACCGATGGTATATTATTTTTCAGCAGATATTTTTTATATAATTATATTATGTATAAATTTGTTGCAGATTTTACTAAAAATACTATGCTTATATGGATAAATATAAGTAACATCAGTTTCCATCTTACAATTCAATTCAAGACTCAGCAGTACTAAAATTTATTTCAAATTCTACAACCCTGTAATAATGTTTCAAGCTGCACGTGAGGTTGGTTTAAAAACTTATTTTAGAATACTGGTTTTGAGAAGAGGAAGAGAGAAGAGCCTGGATATGAGTATGTGAAAAATGATGATGGAGAACAGTAAAATGAATGCCAGAACCCAAGACAGGTGAATTTCAATGTCCTGATATCTGGAATTCAACTTGGATATGCTCATTGCAATTGGCCCACAAAGATTCCAATACTGTTTTAAATTTATCTCTGCAACTAAGTGGGCCAGAAACATGTAGAATATGAATTTCACAGTGGAATGCAACACAATTTGGGCTGGGCAGATTCCCAAACTCACCTGCACCACACTTGCAGTAAGCAGTGCTCACTGAAAGCATCAATCTTCTCACTGGGACTGCAATATGCAACATGCATGGCAAAATGCCAATAGGAAAACTTCAAAGGCTACTTCAACCAGCCTTTTAAACTTCATTATTTTTAAAAAGGAATCATACCAACAACAATAATAATAAAGATGTGTTATCTGTATTCATCAAGAATTTTGATTCCAATATACATAAATAATATTCACATATTTTATATATCCTGCAAGAAAAAAATATGCTTAAGTCTTTTTCTTTAACAGAAGTGGGGAACTTATTGAAAGATCCATTTTTAGGTTTTGAAAAAGCTATTTTTATCCCAAAGTGTTGTCTGTGATATCTACCGTAGTAGACAAAAATGTATTGCAAAATAAATTTTACTTTCAAATTCATTTTGATGTGTTCTCTGTTGTCTTGCGTGATATTGTTTCCAGATACTTGAAGATCAAATAACCAGATTTCAGATTTTCAAAGATTATAAGGTGTGCAGGCTGAAAAACTCCTCTGCCAACTCCAGCTTTTACAAAAGATTCCTAAAGAAGCACCATTATACCCAGGTGAGTCTTAATCACAGGATTTAAAATTGGTAAAGAATGTCTCTTTACAGGATTATTCTACACTTTTTGAATACTGTACAAATAAAAAGAGTGAGATCCTTGTGAAACTCCAGGATTCATAGACAAATGTTAGTTATTGCAACTTAGTTGAAAGAAATCTTGGCCAAATGATAAACATCATCGGGCAATTTTGTCATGATGGTGCAAAAAAACCTCTGCACTGAATGAAGATTTCCATATCCTAAAGTGACAGATTGAAATAAGTTGCTGATCCTTTCCCTAATCCATTTACTCATGAACAAGAAGAACAAATGGTCGATGCACATCATTATTGATAATAAAAAGAGGCAAGGGTCTCAGAGGCACTGGGATTGGTTGCCAGTCTGAACAGACTGATGAAGATGTTTAGACATTTCAAAATAGCAGTCAAAGAACTTGAAATCTGGGTGCTATTAGTGCACTTTTGTTGCCTTGCATTGCTTTGCTCATGCCACCAAGTAGGGGGTTGGGGGAAAGCAAATGATAAACTATCAGGAATCCACATTATTTGGGCAGGACAATGTTTACTACAATGGTCAATCTCAATAGTTGCAGCTTGTTCCTGTGGCTGGTATATTTAACTTCAGCCTTTCAATCCTTCAAAATCATGCGCCACCTTCTCTGTTGCAAATATACAAGGTTTTTTCCTGCCATATACTGCACAAATTGTTTTGGTCATATAAAATTGAATTTTTGAATTATCTACATGCTGAAGAGCGCAGTACTTCTCTCATAATTCTCAAGGTCTTATTTAAACACACATAAGTCTTCTCTCAAGCCTGAAATCTGAAGTGGTCCATGTAAACAAAACACAGCTAATGTAGATTGTTCTGTCCTTTTTCTGGAATAGTTTTTATCGATATGCATTATTTCCTGAAAGTGTCGTATTGGCTAGATGTAAAACTGGCAGGGGGTGAGCTTCTGTGTTAAAAACCCAGTGATCCAAAGGTAAGAGATCATCATTGGAGAAGAGCAGATATAAATACCTGCAAAGTAAGAGAAACAAGATCTGTCATTAGACATGATACACAAAAGATACCATTGAGACTACATTGAACACTGCATGACCAGAGGTCTGCTTGTGCAACAGGGCTATTTTCTGTTTTCCTTCACCATCTCCTCCCATCAGCCATCTGAGAAGAGAGAAGATGTGTGCCCAGGAGGGGTGGATGGTCAAGAAAATTATGTTGATGGCATCAGGACACAGATTCCACTGTTGACTATTCAAATCCATTAACTACAGAGTATAAAATAATGCATATGTCTAATTAGATACAAATATAATTAAAATACATTCATTTTCCTTTTAAATAAGATGCCTTATCACTCATGTATTGTAAATATACTAAATATTCCACTAATAGTTACTGATGAAGATTTAAAGCATTTGTAATAGTACACTAAGTTCTAAACAATCATGATCCACACTACCAAAAAGGTTCTTCATTTATAATGAACATCTACAATCTGTCAGTGAGATCCCATTCTTGTGTCACAATTTGTAAACTCTTGGTTGGTGGAGCAAGCTTTTTCTTAAATTCTCCTGTTTTGCAACATACTAAATTCCAAATAACTTTTCAAGAATTCCTAAATTCTGCACACTTGCACAATTTCCCCTTCACCCCCTTCTGGCACAATTGCAATATCTGTGTTTTCACTATATTCATGTAGGCAATTTCAATGTGTGATATTATGAAATAGAGCCAATACATTTGATACCATCTCATTCACACCCTAAAACAGCTGATGGCATTCTCACAGATACACAGGATAAAGGGCACCCTTTTGCAAGTGTTACAGAATAGATTAGAATTCCTTTTATTTAGGGGGGGGGGAGAAAAAAAATAACAAGGAGACTGTAGTCATATGCATTAGCAGCCTGGTGGGATAAAATCTCCAGCAGTGGTAATATCCAACGGTTTATAGCCATTTAACACAGCCATTTTCCTAGCAGGCATATGTATTTTATAAATATAAAAATCTATTTTCTATAATATTTATTATTAATATATAAGTGCTGAATATTTCTTTAAATTTACTAAATTTATAAGGTTGCTGAAACAAATATCAAAGAGAAAAATCTACTTACTTTAGAGTTTCAGCAAGAAAGAAGCTTTGTTGTACATCATCATATGTGGGAGCTGAAGAGTAGACATCCTTGACCCCGGAAAATCCACCACTCACTCGGCAGTACTTATCAATGGCCTTAAGTGGAACAAACAGAATGAATGCTTTATTAGCCAGCAATTCAAAATTGGATGTAGCTGACACAGATTCAAATTATGTAGATATTATATACTTAGAAATGAAAGCAGAACAGTAGAGTTTACACTAGAGAGTTACAACTACATGATATAACAAAAGTGTTATTGCCAAAATGTCTACAGGTATTTCTTGACTGTTCAATGACAGTTCAAAATTACAATGGCCTTGGAAACGGTGACTTACACTCCATCCTTGAAGTTATGGCCTTTGCACCACCAATCCACAGTCACATAATCACAACTTGGGCAACTAGCTTGCATTACAATGGTTGAAATGCCTTGTAATCATGTGATCACAATTTGCAATCTTCCCAGCTAAAAGCAAAGCCAATAAGGGAAGCCAGATTTGCTTAACAATCTTGTGATACACTCAACAATCATGCGATTCACTTAATGTTGGTGGTAAAAATAGTCATAAAATTGGGTTTGGTCAGGTGAAGACTTGTTTAGCTACTCTATTACTTAAGCAACCAAAATTCATAAGCTACCTGTGTCTGTAAAGCAATAGCACCCTGGAACACAAGTTTCAAATTTTGTAGAGGGCTATTTTTGTATTTTTAAGCAATAAGTATGGAAACAATTAAGTGTCTGCCCTAAGATATGAAGAAATTCTTGCTCTTAGAATTAGTTTATAAGCATTTCAATTATATTTGCATTTGATTGCTTCCACAGTACTGTTGAAAGATTTGTTATGTGAAGTATGTCTAAAAGGGGAATGATAGTCCTGTCTACTTTATGCCATTATTTGAGATAAAAATAAAAACAGTCCATTATATAACAAACCTCATGAACCAACAGCAAACCTAACAGCCAATAGCATTTGGCAATGAATCTCTCTGGCTGATTAGGGCAAACTTCAAACTTGATTTACAGGTTATATGTAAGCCAGTTTCACTTTGGGAACTTGGCCAATATCAAGATTCCTAGTTTATGGTGCCTCAGGAAAGCTGAGATAAATGATAATTAACAGATAAGAGATAATCAAAGTTGGAAGGGACCTTGTAAGTCATCTAGTCCAACCCCCTGCCCAAGCAGGAGACCCTACACCATTTCTGACAAATGGCAGTCCAATCTCTTCTTGAAAGTCTCAAGTGATGGAGGTCCCACAACTTCCGAGGGCAAGCTGTTCCACTGGCTGATTGTTCTCACTGTCAGAAAGTTTCTTCTCAACCTAATCTTAAATTTTAATTCAACTGAATGGCATGATTGCATGTATTTTGTTAATGACAACAATAAAGGCAAAATTAACAATCTCTGCTAGGACTACATAGAAATAAATCACTTAAAGTATGTACAAATGTGCCTTAAATTTCTGCAATTAATTGTCTGAAAAATAGCTATAATGTAGTCTTATAATGACTCTACAAAAAGCATTCAAAAATAATAACAACAAATGGTTTTTCCCCCAGAATGGCGATGCTTGTTGCATCAGCTGTCCTTCTCCCTGTTCTTGCTCGGCAAGAATATAAGCATCCAAAAGTAAGATATGAGAAAAATATTAAGAATGGTATAACTTATTATTATGAAAACAGAATGATCCATAGCTGGAAAGATAAAATAGATAACTATTCCTTTATAAAATGAGACCGGGCAAAATTAATGTTTCTATTTTCCAATATTTGTATGTTTGAGTCTTTATACGAGACAACCAATAACTCCAGAAATAAATTAAATAAACTAGTTTTGACTATTTGTCTAGCAACAGAATAACTTTCTGAAAATGGAACAGAACTGAGATTAAATTTGATATGTAGGGAGAAGCATAAAGATGATAAAATTCTGAAAATGGCCAAATCCAGCTATGAGCTACAGAGAAAAATAATCCAAGAAAAAAAATCCCCCAATGCATGCCCATGGAAGATAAATAATTGCCTGGAATGTTAACTACACTTTCATTCCGGTTTCCTCCCTCTTTCTTTTCATTGGTGGGGGGGCCAGAGCAGAGTTATTATAAAAGAGGTTGGAATTGGGGGGAAATCTAGGTGTTGTGCCCTGCACGTTTCCTTCTCAAACTTGATTATTCATATTTTTTCAAAAATTCTTGAAGCATTTCTCTTCCAAAGTTATTAAACTATTAGCACTATTAGAAGATTAACTGGAATTTAAAATAGCCCTTTTATAAGCAGAGAAGCTTCTTCAATAACAAGTCCAAAGTCCCTCTATTAAAGTGTTTCTCAACCATGTGGATTTCAACCCCCAGAATTTCCCAGCCAGCATGCTCTGTTAGAATGCACTATTCCTATCTAGAAAGTTTCAAAATACATGCAAACCCCCTTTTTTTTACAAAGCAGCCTCTATTTGGCACACTACTTCTGATTGTGAGGGAAATTGGATCCTGGCTGTGCTTCTTGGAAAAGCCTTGAAGCAGACTCTCTTCTTGTGGTGCAGCTGCTAAGTTACATCGTGAACAAGCCCCCATGAAAAAAAAGTCTAATTTTTAATTAGATTTTCATTTCAATGCTTATTTTACAACTGAATGCATTATTATAAGGCAAACTTTAAATCTATTTTAAAAATCTAAATGTAAGATAAAAACATTCTGTAAATAACATTAGAAACTGGAAATTAGAAGTCTTTTTCCCCAATATTCTCAGTCATCAGATTTTTTAAAAGCCATTTTTCCTTAGGTGTCCACCAGCAAAGAAGGAACCATCTAGGGGAAAAAATTACCATCATGGTTTTTGATTTCTTACTGTGCACAATATGAAGGTTGGCAGGGAAACTCTGTGAGGTTTTTTTCAGAAGGCTAGTTAATAAATAATTACCTGTGCTGCCTCCCAGCCCCACTGTCTGTACTTAGGATCATGTGTGAATCGCCACATATACCAGTATGTCTCAATCACCTCCGGTCTTAATATGTAGTATTTTTCATTTTGCCGCACTGCTACTGCCTCTAAACCTCCATCAAATTTGAAAGCTTCAGGCCCCAGTTTTAAAGCTGCAAAGGAAAATGAAGAAAATTAATGCAGCAACTTCTTATGTAACTCCTAAGTTCAACAATGCTATTCTAAAAGAAACAGTAATATATGCTTTTAATGATTCCAGAAGTAGTTATGATACTTCTTATGAATCTGGTCAGGTCTGTAACAGCTTGACAGAAATCTAAATTCATTTCAGAATTTTGAGTATATGCATGGTTGTAGAATATTTAAGAAGTATTTAACATAAGATTCATATCTTAGGGAACCATAAGTAAACAGAGAATTCACTGCTGTTTTATATTCATATATTGTTTGTTTTCTGCCCACAACCTTGAAAAAAATTGGCACTGTGTAACAGAAGTGATTATGTCTATAGAACTTTTATGGAGGAGTGAGCAGCATATCACTTGTTCCCAAAGTATATCAGTTTCACTATATGGCTCCTTTCAAACTCTGAAATTTGGGCCTACTGAGTGGAGCCCGAAATATCCCCTTCTTGTCTCCTAAAAAAGCAAAATGTTACGTTAGTTGCCTGGGTTGGAGAGGCCAACCTCACCTTCCACACCTTCTCTGCCCAGAATTTAATTGCTAAAAGAGATACTGGAACTTCTCTTATTTGAAATCATGGGTAGTGAAATATAGGTTTCACTGTCTCTCTTCATTAGCATATTTTCCTGGCAATTTCATGATTCAATTCAAGGAGATGTCATAGTATCAAAGCTAGCAACAGTCTTTTCATCTTTGAAAGAGCTAGTGGGGTTGAGAATGAGGGCAAGGGCCACAAACTAGATCCTTGCATCATATTGTTGGGGCAATGTCTACTATTTCATCCTAAAGTCAGGCTTTTGCTCCTGGTGAGGTTGTGGATTTAACATCACATCCTGAGAGGCCTGTTTTTTTAATGTTAGTTACTGACAGAGACAGACAAGACAGTCACAGTGAACCTGTTGGATGAAAATACCCATGTGCCACCTTGGTTACCCCCCACCCCAAATCAATTCCACAGGCAAGACCATCTCAATGAATAAACTACACACCTTACAATCAAAGCCATTACTATAAATATCACTACTCTAAGCATACTGATTTCATAGCTTACCTTTTGATTACTGTACTGCATATATTGTCAAAATAAACTCTGCCTCTGGTCTATGCAACTTGCCCCATGTGTTCTTTAAAATGACCCAGTATGGATTTGAACCCAGAACTTTCTTCCAACAAAAAATTCCAGTTCCTTTTGAACTATAGGCTTTTCTACCTACCCAAATAGCTTCTATAGGAAACAAAATATCTACATGAAATAGTAATGCAAACTCATCATGCATTTTTTATGGAAGATGTAAGATACAGCTTAGGTCTTTTTTACTTTTACTCGGGGGTCTTCAAACTTGGCAGCTTTAAGACTTGTGGACTTCAACTCCAAGAATTCCTTCTCCAGTCATGTTAGCTCAGGAATTCTGGAAGTTGAAGTCCACAAGTCTTAAAGTTGCAAAGTTTGAAGACCCTTGCTTTTACCTAATCTGACAAATACATTCTATTTTCAGATAGAGCAGAAAAGTTTTACAAGTCTTTCATGGATAATTAAAGATCATCTACCGATATTTATGTCAGATTTTTGTGCAAATAAATTTGTTAAATTTATATAAAAATATTTTTTGAAAAATATACGAGTCATGTATTGATTATACGTATCCCAATGCAAATAAAAATATCGTCAACAAATTTATCTTATTTTATCTTACCTTCAGAAAGCCTATCTTGCAAAAGATGCCCCCCCCCCAAAAAGGAGGGTTGATGGTGTCTCTAGTGTTTAAAGAGATTACTTAGTCACAGGGTTTGAGTTTGCTACTAAGTTGTGTAAAATGTTATTTCATTGCAAAGCCTATAGTCTACTGCAGTAAGCATATAGATTACTAAGATTTACACTCTGCTTTTCTTCCTGTGTGACGCTGTGGGAAACAGGCAGAAAAGGAGTTCAGTGAAAGCAAGAAGAGGCAGCAAGACCCAGGGAAAATGATCTGAAACTAATAGGAAAAAAATTCCTAGTATTCTGGCTTCGTCTTGTTACAGGAAATTATTGTTGGCTATACTCACATTTGTTGGCTTTCTCACAGTTAGTTGAAAAGAGAAATGGTGCAGGGTTTTATGAGGGGTTGTGGGGGATGAGAATTATATTCAATACATCCAGCAACATATTTCTTATTTAAACAAAAATAGTTCATTTAGGAGTTGAAACCTCCTCTTCACAGAATTCTGCTTCAATTGTACCTTATAGCAACTGCAAAGGCAAGTCTCAAGGAAAACACAGTCAATACCTAAGATAGGCAAGGATACTTACTTGTCCTGTCATAGGATTCATGGCATGTATGTGCAATTTCTGCTCCAAGTTGTAGATAATGTCCAGCCTTCTCATCTCGGGAACCATCAGCTCCAAGGGCAAACATTCCCCCAGCAAAGCATGTGAGATGGCCCATCTTTCTCTCAAGGTGCCCATTTTTCCATTCCCCAATAAAAGTTAGGCCCCCATTAGACTTTCTGATAAGGTGCTTCTCTATGGCCTGCAGTGGAAATACACAACTTTAATTACCATGACAGGTCAAAACATATTTTCATTCCTCTTAATATTCTTCCTCCAACACACCAGATCTCATGAAGTTACAGAACAAAGCAAGAACCGTACAGTTGCTCTATTTCCCTCTCTTTTCATTGAAAGAGAAGTGGGGAAAGAAAAAGAAACTGTAAAACATTTTCACAGAAGAGTTAAGCACTGAGCTTCTTTTATACTTTCCACATGGAAAAGTGATGTCCACTACTTAGAAAATGTTGCCTTCATTCTTCCACTCTTTGTTCCAGTTTTACAATTGGAACTATTTTGGACACAACTTTTCTTCATGTCAACTGAGAAATGGCAACAGACTGAATAATTCACTTAGTTCGGACAGTTCATACCTTGGCCTAATTTCCCTACCTCTCTGAATCTTTGTTAAAGGCAGACTTTTGTACCATGAGTGGGTTCTTATGCAATTATAACGTGAACGTCAGTTGTATTATAGCACTTTAGTCAATGGCCAGAGAGAAAGACTCCTGGCTTTCTCACATTGTTAATAACTGCACAAATTACTGTCAAACTGCCTTTTCTTCCTTGGCTATGACCAAACATTCCATAAAATAAAACTTTGACACAGTTTTCTGTTATTAGGTTCCTTCAGCAAGCGAGAAGAGAAAGCAAACAAGAGTTTTGTGATTTACACAAAGAAACAAACACAAAAAGTACCTCCCCTTGACTTCATTAACTGAAAAAGTCAGGAGTAGACATCAATTTTGTGGGTATGTTAACTGTTTGTTGGAAGGTAAGAACCTCCTCCATGATATCTCTGCTAGCCAAGCCAGACATCAATCTCAACCACTCCTGATCCTCCAGCAACCTCAAAATAAAGATACAAAGTTGCCACTAAAACTTTTCCATCAGCATTGACACTTGGGCTGCAATTGATTAATCAGTCCCTTCAGAAACTCATAGGCAAAATAATCATGAATCAAAATCCCCTCAAGATAAGAGAAATCTTTTATTACAACATACTTTTCATAGACCAGACCCCTCATCCAAAACTCCAATGCCAGACCTGTCATAAAATTCCACACCTAAGGGAAAAAAATCTACACATCTAAGATCATCACACCCACATGGGCGAAAGACTTTTCTCTCTGGACATCCCTAGATCATGAACACCTCACTTTGCATATCTAATGCACAATCAGTCATTATTACTATAAATACTCTACTACTCTCTGTGTTCTGATCTTGTGGCCACCTTTGTCAGCTGATTTATGCATTTACTTTGCTAAACTCTACCTCCACTTCACGCAGGCATCCTGTGCTCATTTACCCGGCCACAGAACAGAGCAGATTTTCTTCTAACACGTTCATCTCAGCAACATGGAAATCATCAAAACTGTTCTTTTAATTTGGTTGGGGAACTAACATATCTTCATTTTCTCCCCAAAGATTACAGAGATATGGGTGCAAATGAAGACTAACTGCCTTCTTGGAAGATAAGGTAAATGAGGTACAAACCCATTGTTCTAAATTATGGAAGATGTGGAATTCTTAGAGTGGATTCATAGTATATGAGTAAGTGAACAGAACTAAAAAGTCTTTCAGAAAGTAAAAGAAAGCCAGAGAGTAAGTGATTTCTGTAGGCAATCTCTCCCAGAGCAGAGAGACTGAAGAGGAAGAGATTTCAAGAAAGTAAACCGTTTGGTCTTATACACAACAAAAGCACTAAGATCACAATAGCTGTGGGGAAAGATCAGGCAAAGAAAAGGCTGCCTTAAATTATTATCTCGATTCTCTGGCATTATATGTGATGTATATGCACACATACACTGAGTCCAGGTAAGAATGTTTAGGTAAAACTACAAAGAAGGGAAAGAAATAAAGATTTTATTGTGGAAGTAAATTATAGACTATGAAGCCAGGCAGAAGATCTAGAAAATGTCTCCTGAACCACATTGAAGAACATTCAGGGATAAGAGCTATGGGAATGATGGGAATCTTCCATTGCCTGGACATTTTTTTGATGGATAGCAAAGACAGTAATGTCCTAAACATTCCTCGGTGATCTTACTGCCTGTTTGTTCCATAATGCAGAAGATGAAAACAAAAAACAAGAAAAAAATGGCTCTCTAGAGCTGATCTTAAAAAAGAAGAGCGAGCTGGTTGAACAGGTAAATGTAGCGAGAACCACGGGAAGAGGTAATCACATTATCTTGGAGTTCAAGATACTGCAGAAAGGTTTTTGACTAAGAGTTAAAAGAGTTAAAAATTGACAAATAGAAGAGTTAATGATTAAGAAGATGTATCAGCTAAAGCTCTCATACTCCCTATCAATAAAGAAAAATACATCTGCTCAATGATATGCACAGACCAGGCTCTGATTTTAATACCTTGCTTTCAAGGAGAAAAATTATTTGTTAGAGGATAAAAAATGTTACTTCAAGAAAGTATATTACAAAAATATTTTTAATTAAATAAATATGATTGTAAGGATGACAAGAGACAACAATATGGGAGTCAAGTAAAGCTTATATAAGAAGTATCTTAATAAGGCTTGCAGCATACCAGAAAAAAGAACATAGTAGATTAAAACTACCATTAAAAAACAAAAGAAAGAAATCTGAACAGTTTCATAAAAACAAATGAGATCAATAAAACATTGGAAGAATTAAATAAATCAAAACATCATTTAGATTTATTGGAAACAGCAGAACTCTAAAAGAAGGCAAAGTGTACCAAACAAAATTATTTTGAAAATGAACGTAAACCAGGAAAGCATATCATATTAGGAAAGAGAAAGAAAAAAGGATGATAACAGCAATAAACCTAATAAACTATTAGATATAACATCAGAAATAACAGAAGAACTTGCAAATTTTAGGAACAAAGGTAATTTGGAAGTATATTATCAGATATTTAAAAATTATTTAAAATGATAAATTTTAAGCAAATTACTAACAATTCAAGATATGAAAAGGCAATAAAGAAAATTAAAATTAATAAAACTCTGTATGGTAAAAAATTAAAAGAATTAGCAGAACTACTGCTAAAGGCAATGAATGAAATAACAAAAACAACTCCAAAGATTCAGGAAGAAGCATATTTAACATTAATATACAAAGAAGGGAATAATCAGAAGAAATCTCAGTAATATAGACCAATTTCTTTACTACTGAAAATTCAATAACTACTCCACTAGTTGAATGTATGAGGAAGTACATTTGATAAATTATACATATCCATTACATTTCAAAATGAAAAAGAAAAGTAACAGCAAATTTATCACAAATGTACTATAATTTATCAAAATTAAGAAAAAACAATATCAGTAGTACTTTAATGTGGAAAAAAGCCTTTGATAATTTGGAATGGTTTTTTTAATGTCTTAAACCAAATGAATTCCAGAGAAGAATTCAAAACTTACATCAAGTATATATAAAAGGCAAACAGCAAATATTACAGTGAATGGATTGTTCTTTGTAAACTTTTCAATTAGCAAAAACACAAGGCAAAGGTGTCTACTCTCCCCTTTTGTTCAGAAGTTTTATTACAAAATCTGATAGATAGATAACTGGAATAAAATTTGAGAAGAGAAATAAAATGTGAAATATTATGCAACAATCATATCAACCACAAAACTCCATACAGCAGCTGCTGAAAGTAATCAAAAATGTTGATTATTCTTCCAGATAAAAAATTAGTGAAAAGGAATAGCAAGGCACTTAATTTCTGAGGAAGAAAATTTTGTAGAAAAAGATACTGGCTATGAGATAACGAAAAAGTCAGTTAAATAAAATCTTCCTTGAGAGGATACAGCCAACACATATTTCAAAAGAAATACAGTAAACTATGACTAGAAATAAAACACATCATTGACAGGTTATCATTTAAAAACAAATGTATTATCTAAAGTATACTTATTAAAATGGCAGCAATTCAAACCTCAGATGAAAAAAATTGCAGGATTGGGAAAGAATAATTAATACATTTACATGGAATAAGAAAAACAACAACAGTAAGATTCAAAATTATCTAAATCATAAAAGAAACATGAATTAGCATTTTCTGATCTCAAATTATGTTACAGTGCTTACTATCCATCATAAGACAGCAGAATGGGGCAATATTACCACAGAAGAAGCAGGCTTAGCCAAGGGACACTTGTGGTATAAAGAAACAAAATAATACAAGAATTCGAAGGATCATATTATAAAGAAAGTCTGTTTCTATTTCAATTATAATTACAGTAAGAAAGATCTGATCTGCAAATATTACACAGATGGACATAGAAAAGACAGAAGATTTTTTTAATGAGAGAAGAAATCTACCAAAGTTAATGTGTTTGCAAATAATTGGAAAAATAAAAAGTAAAAATTGGTACAAAAATGTTCTACAGATGTTTTTTAACTAATTAACAATTACAAAACAATTAACAAAATGGATATATCATATAATAATTAACATTGGGAATACCACAACAAGCAAAGAATGTTTTATTATATGTGGTAGTTATGTTAAAAAAAATCAAAAAGTACCGGAGAGAAATATACCAAACTACCAAAATATGCAGAAAATAAATCATGAGTTAAAATCACAAATATTTTCATTATATTTTCTAGAGACATTTTTGCATCATGATTTATTAATAGACATAGTGACAATGGCAAGATTCAATCTGGCAAAAAACTGAAAAAGAGAAACCTTGTTGTCAATGCAGCATTGGAAGGCTAAAATTGAAGCATACACAACAATGGAAGAAGTATTGATATAAATTCACAGTTTAAATCTAACCAAATTCAATCAGGAATACTTGAATAGCAAGGCAAACTAAGACACTTAGATTATGGGTTTTGAAAAGAAAAAAAAACATGTATCAAGAAAAGTTAAAAAACTGGGAAAGTCTCAAAATAATTATAATGATCCAAACAGAAATGAGTAATAATGCCTAAAGTATAAAAATATTCAAGTTACAATTAGTGGCTGGATGGAGGGAGAAAGAGGGGCTACCACAATGCCTATTTATAATTCCCCCCCCCCCCAATTTTCTAATTTTTCTCAAAACCCTTTAAATGTGTGTGTATATATAAAAGTAAATTGTATATACTTTTTTCTTTGTATGTTTCACTTAACAAACAAATAAGAGACTAGTATATTTTAGATTTGAACATGAATTTAGGCAAACTCTGGGAGACGGGAGTGTAAAGGAGCCTGAAATATCCATGGGGTTGCAAAGAGTCAGACATGACTTTGCAACTTAAAAATGTGTAAACTCAAATTTAAATTTTAATATTTTCAGATGTTTACATCAATCGTATGGGAATTGGCTTCTGGAAAAAGAAAATTGGTATGCAATCAAAAGTTTAATTGTTCTGCATTAGAAACAAAAACATAATGGCTCCAACCAGAGGTAGTCCTCAGTTATGACCACAATTTGAGCCCAAAATTGCTTAGTGAATTTAAGTGAACTTAACTGTCTTTAAGGATTCAAATAGGTACCATGTAGACTTTTTTCACATTTAAATGCATCTAAATTAGAAAATTAGACTTTGGTTGGACATAAGAAAAAAATCCTAATATTAGAGCTTTTTAACAATGGAACAGTCTGTCTCAGCAAAATGCTGGATTTTCCTTCAGAAGAGATATTTAAACAGAGGTTGGCTGACCATTTCTCAGGGATGTTAATAATAGTGGATTTTAGTGAACTCTGATATTGCTCCCCTCTAATTTTAACATTCTATAATTCTATGCTATTATAATAAAATAACTCAGGTAAGAATGAGAAGTTGTTTGCCTGTAATAGCCAAGAACAAACCAAATAACCAATCTACATTCAGCTAGATGACTATGGGACACATACTTTCTTCAGTCTAACTTACAACACAGCATAATTTTCTTTTCTTTTTTTTAATTTTATTTGAGTTTTCACAAAGAAAAAAAACAAATAAAACATCTTTTTTGAAAGTAGCGTAATCCCGGGTTACATTTCTTTGTACAGACACAAATTCGACTTCATGCTCATTTTTATATTCTATTCCATATCTTATTACTGTTTTACATTTTCAGCATAGCTTCTCCCCTCTTTTAATTTTCTCAAATTCATTTTAATTATCTCATCTCAATTCAAATCATTATATTTATATTTTTTGTCTGTCCTGTTTCAATTATCTATTATCTTTTCTCATTAAGCGAAATTTCTCCTGTAGTTACTGATTGGAGTATGACGCCTTTATATCTTTTAAGTTTATAACATTCAATATAATATATAACTTCCATTCAGATTCTGCTTGGTACATTCTTAAAATACACACTATATTCTTAGAAAAAGAAAAAATTATAAATGTATGTAATTAAAACAACACATCTCATTCCAATTCAATTCTATCATTAATATTAATATTCATTAAAATCTTAACTTCTTTACCATTACTTTTCAATTAAATATCATACTTCTATGGGAACAATTATAAGCTTTCCATAATTAATTCCCCCCCCCCTCTTCACTTATATTTTATAAAACGTTAACTAATTAAAATGTTCCCGTTCCTTCCTAATTCAATTTTCTCATTTATTTTATTTCACTTATTAACAAACATTTCACTAAATTACACTAACTATTTTATCCCTCATTTTAATCATACATTGTTTCCAATTTTCTAAAGTTATTTCTATTACTAATATAACAATACAATCTTATGTACCTTTACAGAATCCCTTTTCAGTTAAATTTTCACCCATTATCTCTAAATAGGTCCTGTTTCTCTATATCTTGTTCCAGTCCTTTGTAACTTCTTTTCCTTTCCTTCTTCCCTCTCTTCTTCTCTCTCCCCTTTTTACCCCCTTGTCTCTCTACCTCTATTTCTCTCTTCTGTATTCCCCTTTTCTGTTGCTTTCCAGTATTATACTTATTTTTCGAATTATTTTTCTTTTCTTTGGTTGTTTTTTTAAATCTTAAATTCTCCATTCTCTTTCCCCCCTTTCCTTTTTCTTCCCCACATAAAATTACTTGTTCATTAAAGATAGCTTCTTCTTTGTCCGTCTTCTTGTTTTGCAGACATTTCTTATTGTTTCTCATAGTTCCAAATCTCCATTTCTAAGAATTGAAAAACGAAGCCAAAAGAACCCTTCCCTTCTTGTGCATCTTCTTTGTACTTTTTAAGCTCCATTTTCAATTCATCTAGAAGTGATGCCATTGTATAAATTTTTAAACAACCACCCGATTAATTTTAGTCATTCAAATGTAATAACCAAGAATCCAAAGATCACCAAATAATCCAAATACACGCAGGCTGTTTCTTTTCTGCTCTTTTTTTTTCACTTTCTCTTCCTGGGGTTACTGTTTAGTTACAAAGTTTCAGTTAAAATGTATCTTTTAGAAGTCTTATTGAAGTTTTACTGTAGATTCTTTTTAATTCCAGGCAGTCTCCTCCCTCTTCCAGATCCTGCCCTTATTCTTTTTCTCTCCCTTCCTGCTTATGAAAAAAAATGTTTAGTGTCCAGAAATCTTTATTATCCTTTTGACATTTTGTTTTATTTTCAGCTTAATTGCCTGTTGATGTCAAAGCGGATTTTTCCGATTTCTTATTTAAGTCTCTTAGTTGTCAGTATAGGGAAGGGAAGAGAAGAAAAAAACCCCAAACCTTTCCCTTTTCACTTTTCTTCGCTGCTTCCGACTCTTCTTTGGGAGCGATGTTATTTTTTTGTAAGTTTAAATTCCAGGGTACCTTAGTTGTTGCTTTTACAATTTAACCCGGTCAGCCAAAACTTTCACTTCTTATCTTCCTCCTGCACATTCTTTTCTGGTCGAGTTCTTCTTTGTGGTGGCCATTTCTGACCACTGCTGCAACCGCCTTTGGGAAAGGGAGTAATGCCAGCTGAGGAGGAGATGCGGCTCTCCTCAACCCTGCTGGCAGTCTCCCCCCTCTTCACCACCTCTACGGGGTGGCTTAGCCCCAAAACCAGCCAGCTCGGGGCGCTCCAGCGGCGAGCCCAGACTGAAACCGCACACGATCACAGATTTCTGTCTGTCACCGAAGAGACTTCAAACTGGAAGCCCAGCATAATTTTCTTTTGTAAGAAAAAATGGTTATTGTTGTTGTTAGTTGTGAAGTTGTGTCCAGCCCATCGTGACCCCATGGACAACGTTCTTCCAGGTGTTCCTGTCCTCTACCATCTTCTGGAGTCCATTTAAGCTCACGTCTACTGCTTCAGTGACTCCATCCAGCCACCTCATTCTCTGTCACCCCCTTCTTCTTTTGCCCTCAATCTTTCCCAGCATTAGGCTCTTTTCTAGTGAGTCCTTCAGATAGTCCTCAATTTTCAACAGTTCGTTTAGTGATCGTTTGAAATTACAATGGCACTGAAAAAGTGATTTATCACTGTTTTTCACACTTACGACCATTGCAGCATTCCCATGGTCACATGATCAAAATCCAGCCACTTGGCAACTGACTCATATTTATGATGGTCGCAGTGTCCCAGGATCACCTTTTGCAACCTTCTGACCAGCAAAGTCAATGGGGAAGCCAGATTCACTTAATGACCTTAACTAACTTTTTACTAACTTAACAACAGCAGTGATTCACTTAACAACTGTGGCAAGAAAAATTGTAAAATGGAGCAAAACTCACTTAACAACTGCCTCACTTTGCAACAGAATTTTTAGGCTCAATTGTGGTTGTAAATCGAAGATTACCTGTACTTCTATATTTATGTTTAGTTCTTCTGCTTATGGTGTATTCAGTCCTCAAACAATATTTTCAAGTAAGAGAACAGGATGAGCTAAGTTAAGGATGCATTTTTGTTTTCATTCTGATTCTTGAAAAAATACAATCAGTAATTGCTTGGAGAAAGTGGGAATTAATGCACTATAATCACCTCAATAGCATCATCATACATTTTCCTTGCTTCCGTGTCCATCTTATCTGACATCAACCAAGCTTTCAACAAGTATTCATAAAAACTGTCTCCCAAACCACCCATGGATGTGTGATCTGCAAGAGAAAGAGACAGGGAGTATGTATAAATATAAAACTGTGAATATGAAAGATTACTGTGATTTGCAACTACAAAATCCATTTCACCAATAATGTAAGGAATGAAGCTCCCCTTTTGTTATAACTAGACAAACTGTGATACCTGGGTCATTGCTTCAGAGGTACTTCCTTACCAGGTTCCTTAATGTCTCCAACAATGGCAGAGCTTCTAATATACTTGAAAAGTTCTTAAAAATTCAGGGGGTTATATCTCCTTTGAAATAGCCTATGCTGAACTATATGGCACAGTCAAACATTAGAAGTTGACCACAATAAATGTTCTGTATTTCATCATAAAATGCTGCATGATAATTTTTTGTCACAAAATGTTTTATAAAATTTGTTGAGTTTCAATTCCACAGGAATCATGCATGGGTCCTAGATTTTGGATGCATTCTGTAAGTTAGCCCATTTGAGGTATTTTAATCAAAATGTTTTATCCAATGATGCATTGTTTTGCCCAGTTAAGGGTTACAGGCACAAGAGTTTTAGTAATATATAGATTTACCTGGAATCTATTTGCCTAAGTGTTATAGTATTTCCCAGCTTTTCAGTAAAATGGTCAGAAACTACACAGTCAGGACTCTGTAACTGGATAAAATTCAACTCACATAGAGAATAACTTTTTATAACTTACCATTCTGAGCAAATTCTTAAGTCAAATCATCAAATGGTTGATCTGAGTTAAAGGTGCCTTACTTGGAGCTACCCAGGCACAGTGGTGGTATTCTACTGGTTCGTCCCGGTTCTACTGAGCTGGCAGCATCAATGAGCAGCAGAGACCAAACCGGTTCTCTACGTTGCTCTGCTGGCTCTGCTGTTGGGCCGACCCGCTTGCCCAGGCTCCCATACTCACCTTTATCTGCTGAATTTGAAGCACAGCTGCTTTGCATGGCACAGAAAAGTGCCGCGCGGCAGCTGCTGAAGAGACTGGAATCATACAGGCTTGCAGGAGGCGAGTTAGAACGCCTCTGCGCCTGCGCAAACGCCTCTGCGCCTGCGCAAACGCCTCTGAGCCTGCGCAAAGTGTGCGTTTGCTGCGCGAGTGCAGTGTGTGCACACGTGCAAAGCGCACCCACCAAACCAAACCCACTGAACTGGTGGTAAAAATATTTGAATCCCACCGCTGCCCAGGCACCGTCTGAGCTAGAGCAACAGGCCCAAAGTCACTCAGGAAGTTTCCATGGATGTGAATCTAATTTTTCCCTAGTTATGTTCCAACACTTTAATCACTTCCAATTGAGAGCATGCTTTCAATTTTAACAGCACGTTACAACACTACATTGGTAAAAAGATGTGTTCCACTGGTATCTTCTGAATGGTGCAGCGAAAGTGAAGTAAAACATTTCATTAAAACAATTTACAGAGCATCAAATAATGGAAAATAAGTTTACTGAAAATGGAATGTTTGAAGTACTGTGTCCTCAATCATCAATAAAGGACAATGGTATTTATTTGTCAAAGAGCGTATTTTTGATCTCAAATCCTTAAAATGTATGTGCATGTGCATATAAAATCTGGTCTAATAGGCACATACATTTCATCCCCATAGCATTATTGTACAGAATTTCCACAAGCACTTTATTTCTACCATCCTTTCCTATAACAAATATGAAAAGTATTGATTTACTTGGTGAGTCTTGTTGGAACGATAGTTATAAAATTGAGGTGAAAGTGATCTCATGCTCATTTAGTCCAAACCTTTCTTCAGGACAGAAATCTTCTAAACTAGGGGTCTCCAACCTTGGCAACTTTAAGCCTGGAGGACTTCTGGGAGTTGTAGTCCTCCAGGCTTAAAGTTGCCAAGGTTGGAGACCCCTGTTCTAAACTGTCCCCAACGGATAACCATTCAAAGTCCATTTGAAAACATCCAGTGGGAACTCCACTTTCTAGATATACTTCTTCACTCTATAGTTCTTACTGGCAAGAAATTCTTCTGGATACTCAGCCTAAATCTTTTAATATCAATTTATCTCCATTTAATCATCTTAATTAGATGATCCAGCTAACTACTGCCTAACCTGTTTATTAAATCAGATCTGCAAAAAATTTACTAATCGGGAGAAACTAATTGATTGGCTTGAATCTGGACATTGTGAACAAACTGAGTTTAAAAAAGATAACAAAATTAGACTCTGCTTTGATGTTGTAATGACTAATAGAAAATGATAAGCATAACAACACTTCAGAACCTAGCTAAATTCTGATGATTAAAACAGGAGTAATCCTGTTTCAGGATCACTTGGCTTTTGCAGAATAACCTCGGCTGTAGCTACACAATCCTAAAATCATAATTTGAACAAGATTGCTCACTCTTTTTGGAAGTAAATTATGATTTCAAGCATTCACAAGAGGCCCAGTTCAGATATAGATGTCAAATTAAAATTATCATAGCCATGAAGTAAGAAATTAAGAGTGTGCAAAATGTTGACCTTGGAGCCTACAGCCATAAAGATTACTAAGTAACTAAAATCATGACATTGAGTTTTGAAAGATGTTTCAAGTGAATTTATGGATATGTGTACATTCATGCACTAAACAAATTCAGTTTGCCATTTATATGAAAGAAATACTTACGCTGCCCCCAGCGCCCAGTTCTTGGATTCAAGTAGTTTGGATAAAGTCCATTAGGACGGTCCATTTTCTGAAGCAGCTTACGAATATGCATAACCTTAATAACAAACAAAAGGTAACCATGGTTTCTTCTCAATGTTCCTCTGATTTTTTTCAATTACATTTAAAGAAATATTGAGGAAAGATGTAAGTATGTGTTGTACATCCACATCCACATAGATACACATGCATTTTTCCATCTTATCTATATTTTCACAAGTCTTGAACTGTGTATCAGAAAGAGGCACAAAACAAACCTTTTCATAGTAGACAGGGTTGCCAGTCAGATAGCTGAGGTGTACAAATTCCATGTGAAGTGTACCGAACTCTGAGAGGATGCTGCTGCCAGCAGAAGCCCAGCCCCAATTGCGACCTACACCACTAATCAGAAAATGATAGGAAAAGGCTAAGAAAATGTATTTACAAGAAACAAAACGCAAGGAAAAAAACTGACACTTAACAAATAAAAGTAAAATGGTAGTACACCTTGTTTATGTGCTTAAATACAGTAAGTACAATTTGGAGCAGTCAGATAAATCCAAAATATGTAAATTATTTAAATTGCTTAGCTGATCTTCAACAACATTAAGAAAAACTAATCAGAAGTTTTACATTATTCTTCACTGTGCCAGGCTTCTCTGCCCATACTCATACCTTTTCAAATTCACCATTGCCCAAGGAATCCCTGTGGGTGTATTGAAGGCGGGGATGAGCTTTCCTGCTAGTTGCACTGCTTTTATCTTGAATAGCTGAAACAGATAGAGAAAGACAGCTGAACCATGGTCTGCTGTTTATATTCTAAACCTAAACCCATCTACCCAAAAAGAAGCCCTCCTCTAAGTATCCCGCCTGATACACACCCACATATTCTTCCACAGCATTTTCCCCCACCACTATGCCAGTAGGAAGGAATAGACTTCAGTGATCTGTACTTTTTTGAAAATAATTTTATTAAACTTACCAAAATGTAAAATAAAGTAAAAAAAACAACCAGGAAAATGGAGAAGGTGGAGAAGGGAGAAAGAGAAATATGTGGTGAAGTGGAAAAAGGAAGGAGGAAACATTCACTTCTGACTCTTTTCAACACAGTAGAATAAAAATAACGTTACAGCCTCAACTTTTTACTTTTGCATATTTAGTATATACTAGCCATTTTTTTTATAACAACAAACTATCAGTGTTGTCTAGATTTATTTCAACTTTATCATCTATAATGGATGGCAAAGTTCTTATGGATAATTTTCTTAGTTACATAAATGTACTGTATATTTGAACAATATCTGCATTAACAAACTGGAGACAAAAATCCTAGGAGGTTCTCTACTTTTTCTATGTAAATACTATAAAATTCTTCACACAATTGAAGGCTATAGCAGTTAAGATGTTGTTAAAATTATTGCTTAACATTATTATTAATGCAAAACTGGAACTAGCCTATTATCATATTTGATGGACAAGTATTTCTCTTGTGGCACAAAAGACAAAAAAGTACATTGGGTTTGGGGATTGGTTGGTTAGTTTTCCTTTTTATCCAGTGAGGGATATACACTTTCCACTTATCTGCGGCCTAAAAAACAGAGGAGCTCACCTTTAAAAGGAAGCCAAAGATCCAGCTAAAAGGTAACCAGAAAGATCAATACGATGTAGACGTGTTAAAGAAGGGAAAGGTTTTAAAATCTTCCTGGTTAGAGTATAATATATGCCATTAAAGCTCCAGAATAGGTAACTACTAAAACTGGGATGTTCATAAATACTAGGTGATCATTCAACGAAATGAAGTGAATGCTGAACCAGTTAATGAAAAGCTCAGAGGAGATATATAATATTGGCGCTAGTACTATTTTCTTCACATAATGCATAACCTCATAACACAATTTTTCTTTTAAACAAAAAACAAAAGTATCTGGAAATTATTACAAGGACCTCTAATATAATAACCAGATTCCTGTAAGTTCCCAAGTGCAGAAGTTGGCAGTCTGCTGCATTTTAGTCCTCAAACCACTCTTCTGCATTTATTAGGCAAATATTTTTTCATATAGCCATTGTTGTCCCTTAATCAGTCTTCCAGAAACTCAAATGCTCATTCTTTTAATAATCTTCAGCTTTTTTAATCAAACCATTTTGTCATCAGTCAACTGTATAGCTTAAAAAAATAATGCTGGAGTTTGCTCTTTTCCCTTCCCTTTTCTTAAAAGTCTTGAAGTTTATAAAGAGGCAAAGGATGTCCTGTACTTCTATTTGGGAGCTGTTTTAAGAGTTATTTTAAGCTAAAGTGCAATATAAAATGTATTACCTAATAAAAATAAACTGAAATTTGGGACTTAAAAATAAAAAGAATTATTACTAAATATTGGCTAATTAATATTTCATCTCAACAGTTTTTCTCATAATAGGAATAAAATGAATAATTGGGATTTATATATGGCTATATCATATCAATACTGATTCTCTGTATATATCTGAATCTAATCCACTTTCTCCAACCACAAACTTGTAAATCAAATTTTATGTTAAAAAAATAAATAAATTTTGCAACCATCATAATAGATAAGCTAATTCATAATTTTTCTTTGTGCTATATCCAAAGGAAAAATAAATAAATTCATTAGGGAACCAACGGACTTTCATTTAGTTATGGAAAATAAACTTAAGATTTTCTCAGTATACTACTTTCTGAGACTAATATCGAGAGTTTTCTTTCATTTAGACATAAATTGAGGCTCAGGCTTCCTCAGTTCTGGTTACCTACCAAACAGCTTGTGAAATGGGAAGAAAACAAGCACTTTTGCTTCCTTAAAAAAAATAGGAACAAGCCTCAAAGTTTTACATAAATGTACAGTGACTCCCTTACCTCCTGTCCTGAGAGGTAATAAGCTGCGAGCAAGCCACCAATGAAACGAATGTTGACTTCAAAGACTGATACCTCTGAGTTCTTGAAACAGATAAGAAGGTAGATTCTTTAGGTATAAACTAAATACTAATACACTACATTTACATTTCATTGCATCCTTGCAGCAACTAAACAGAGGATTTCTGCAGACAAACTGTAATTACTCTTTATAGCAGTTCTTTGGGATAGTAAGCCATTGTTGCTACTAGTAACAGTGAAAATTAATTACCTTGAGTTTGGATACAAGGCTAAATTGGGATTAATTAAAACTGGATGTGAAAACTTTTAATACAATTCTTAAATGGATTAAATATAAAGACTGAAGATTAAGAAAACTTTTATGTGATTTTAAAACATAAAAGTAGCTGAGACAAAACTTTAGTACAAGCTAACTAAAATTATATTTTTAATACTTGATAAGACTAAAACAGTGATACCTAATTATGCAAAGTATCACTGGATATTTCAAAAGCAGGTCTCATAAAAATGAGTACAAAAGAAAAAACTACTAGCACAACACAAATAAGTGTTTGTAAATCAACAGGAACACCCATTCTCTCTTAAAAGATTGCAATAAAAAGTGTGCTTGAAGTTTTACAAAGCTTTCGTGTCCATTATCACAAATCGTTTTAAACACTGGTAGAATAAAATTTTAAGTTTCTCCAAACAATAATGTTCCAAGATACATTTTCTTACCACACTAAAATCAAGATGATTCTCAATCCATTCCTGTCCTTCTCTGAATTCATCATGAAGGCCCATTATATAGAGGGTATCCAATGCATCTACTATGCTTGCTCCCAGCTGGGAATTGCCTATAATCAAAATCCAGTATTTCCATGATAAATATATTGTTTACAGATATCGTTTTCCAGGGCCATTACCCACTTAACAATTGAAACAATACTTCATAAATATTTAATTTCCTTATATAGAAATAAAATAAAGATTAGAATAAGAATACAGAAATTATTAAGAGCACTTTTATGAAAATAATCATTCACCAACATTTGCCATGCTGGTTTTGAGGCTACCAATTCTGGATTACAAAAGTCTGGATGTTTACCTCAGAACAAACAGTTGTTTCTGATCATTATGTGCTACAACTAGTTGAGTCCAGATTCTTTTTAGGCCAGATATGGTAGCCCAAACTACTTTTACCAAATAATTACTAAAGGTCTTCCTCGCTTTACAACCAATCACTTAGCAATGCATTGTACAAATGGAATTGCATTTGGAATTGCAACCAATCTATGTTGCAACAGCATTGTACAAATGGAATTTACAACGTATTTGTATCCTGAATCAAGGGATTAAAAGGTTTTAAAAAGCAAACTAATGTATCCTGCTTTTATTACTTTTATAAATAATAAGTGGCAAACATATCCAGCACCACCTTTCTCCTCCTATTTTCCACACAACAGCAATCCTGTGAGGTGAATTAGCCTAAAAAGTATGACTGACCCAAGGGCACCCCAGCTGGATGCCATGGCTATGGTGGGGCTAAAATTCAGTGTCTCCTGCTTTCTAGCCTGGTACCTTAACTATTAGACCAAACCGGCTCTCAAACTTGTCCTTGAAATTACAACCATTCCAGGGTCTTCTCATTTACGTGATCAAAATTTGAATGTCTGCCTGCATTTATTACCACAAAGTGTGCTTCGATGCCCTCCACTCATCTATCTTGCCCCCATCTTTGCTTTTTTGTCCTGCACTCCACTGCCCTGCCACGTACTGCATCTGCTGCCCTGCCCCCGCCCTCAGCTGACCTTCACCATCTTCTTCCTCCTACTGCTGACAGGCAAACTTGGCCTGGTCCTCCCTATGACAGTTGCTGGCTGCATGAGCCTTGTGAAGGATCAAGGCATGCGTGCATTAAAGGTATAAGGAATAAGATGGTAAAGCTCAATTGAGACAGCAGAGTGAAAGGTAGCCAAAAGGGCAGAGATAGGGGGAGGATAAGTGGAGGCAGGCAAGGTAAGAAAAATGTGACATGCTTGCCTTATGATGGCACAGTCTTGGCCTAATGAGTGCAACTGAGACTAATGGAACCACCATTGTTAAACAGTGCGATTATATAAAGTTTTGCCTAGCAATCACTTCACTTAATGATAGAAATTTCAATCCCAGTTAGGTTCATTAAGCGAAGACTACCTGTACCTTCTATGACTTCTCCAGCATTTCCTGATAGAAAAGTTAATGGGTGTGATGGGTTGCATAATGCTGATCAGAAATGCTTGGGCAGTCTTCAAATTCAAGTTGTTTAAAAAAATATTACGGCCAAAAGCTAGCAAAATGAGTAGTGACATGGAATACTATTTCTCTAGACAGCGATCAGTGGCAAATTGAGAAACTCTCGTTGACAGAGGGGTTTAAATTGAAGGTCTCAATTATGAGCATTATAGTTTCTATGATGATAAAAAAATGGTTATGTGTAAATCCTGAAGAATTTTTAGAGTATCAAAAATAAACATCTCTGTTTCAGTTGCTTACCAGCTGAAACAATTCTCAAATCTTTGTGGAACCAAATGCTTTCTTTGGGCCCAATTAACTGAAAACAATTTCAGTTGTTCAGTTGAAGAAGTAATAGGAAGTAATATTATAAACATAAATATTATAATAAATATTATAAACATAACCAACATTCTAGAACATTCAACAGAACTAGAGGACGGGAAACCTGGAGAGAGAATTTAAAGTTATATAGAACTCACAGAAAGAAATATCATAACTCTCAGGCCTATTCAGTATTTGCTCCAACCCAGCACTGGAAATAATCCTGAGAATTTATCTAATTTGAGCCTGGACCCTCAGGCTGTTAAAAAAAATCCTACTAAAAAATTTCCCTCATTTATTTAATTTGTATTAATATATTCAAAATTTAAATGTTTGACATTTTTATTTACAATCACATTACTCTATGTCTTACATTTTGATTTCTTATGATGGAATATAGGTACAGTACATATTTTCCATTTCAATATTAAGTAATGCAATTTCTTTAATGTTGCCCTTCTGAACTACGGTTTGTCACATTTTCTGGTCTATTTTGATAAATGTATTATCAACACTAACCACCATTGTGTGAGCCCATAAGTCAGGCTTCAAAAGAATTCTGATTCTTCATGAACGAGCTGCTTGCGAACATGTACATGTTACCAGTTCTTCCCCAAGCTGCAAGCATTCCAGAGTAAAAAATATTTCACTATTGAACTAAATTAAAGGTGCACAACATACTCCAAGGAATGCAACCCCCCCAAAACTCGAGTTATTACTTTTTCTGTAAAAATATAAAACATGCTAAATTTAAATTATAATTAAGCTTAAATATTGCTGAAATTAGATTTAAACTAATTACGTATGGCTAAGCCAGCTCTTTTTCAATGAAGTATTTTTGGCCTCTTAACGCTGGAAGACTGAAAATGTCATCACAACAGCTTATTGGCAGTAGGGAAGTTCAAAATTTTAGGTTTCGGGGTTTAAACTCAAAATGTAAAAATTAATCCAAATTTACAGAAAAGATTCAAGGGTTTGGAAACATAAAATGGGTGTCTAAAAAATGTGTTCAGTTTAAAAAAATAAATCTTGGGATGCTGGAAGCCATATAGAGCCCATACCTCTGGTACAGAAAAACTAACTGAAATAGTCCATATATAAATATGGAAGTCTTCCCTCTTCCCATACAATAATGTGTCATGAATTCGTGTGTGTGTGTGAATATGTGTGTATGCATAAATAAAAAAAATCTTAAAAATATGAAAGACTTCAGGAAGCTTTCTTTTCAGAGCTATTTCCATGTCCCCATGCAACTATTTCCATAAACCTTAGTATAATCAAAAGTTATGATAACATTTTTTAAATTTCCTATTTATTATTAGGGATTATAAACACAGAGAATACATGTCTAATGTTTCCAAGATGACAGACATTCAGTTGTTAAAATTTTCTGCAATGCACAAGGCCCTGGCCAGAGTTAAAATTAGCAAAATGGCAGATAGAATAGAATAGAATTCTTTATTGGCCAGGTATGATTGGACACACAAGGAATTTGTCTTGGTGCAAATGCTCTCAGTATACATAAAAGAAAAGATACATTCGTCAAGAGTCAGGAATCATAAGATACAACACTTAATGATAGTCATAGGGTACAATAGGCAATCAAATCATACTAGGAAACAGTCAATATAAATCATAAGGATACAAGCAACAAGGTTACAGTCATATAGTCATAAGTGGGAGGAGATGGGTGAAAGGAAGGATGGGAAGATTAATAGTAACAGTAATGCAGACTTAGTAAATAGTTTGACAGTTGAGGGAATTATTTGTTTAGCAGGTTATGGCATTTGGGGGAAAACTGTTCCTGTGTCTAGTTGTTCTGGTGTGAAGTGTTCTATAGCGTCATTTTGAGGGTAAGAGTTGAAACAGATTATGTCCAGGATGTGAAGGGTCTGTAAATATTTTCACAGCCCTCTTTTTGACTTGCAGTATACAGGTCCTCAATTGAAGGCAGGTTGGTAATAATTGTTTTTTTCTGAAGTCCTAATTGCTCTCTGAAGTCTGTGTCTGACTTGTTGGGTTGCAGAACCAAACCAGACAAGTTATAGAGGTGCAGATGTCAGACTCAATAATTCCTCTATAGAACTGTATCAGCAGCTCCTTGGACAATTTGAGCTTTCTGATTTATTGTTAATGATACAGTATTTACTTCTTAGTTATGTAACAAACATTATGATAATGATAAACAAAAATCTCTGATCAATGGCAAGCAGAAGTACTCCTGTAAGCACCATTCCTTTTTTTTATTGTGGGTCTCCTTAAGGCCTTTTCTAAATCCAAAGACTGTACGCAGGCTATGTGTTTCCAATCTAACCTTAAAGGTAGTTTCTATGTGCAATGGGATTTATTCAGATGGGAGAATGGCCAGGTAGCCATGAAAAAATATTTGCTCACCAGCAGTAATCTGAATAGCAAATTGTTTACCAATTATGGAGAAAATTCATTATAAAACTCATCAATCTTATTATCTACCACATGGCTTTGAAGACATGAAAGAAATATGCTCTAATATAATCCTTCACACTTCTTTAAACAATATTGAGACATCATTACAAGAAATATTTGACATCACATCAGATAGCCTTTGAGGACACCCTCTAAACTGAAATAGTCACATTACAGTTGCTTCACAAAGATAACCAAATTAACTTCCACTTTGTAATTCTGCTTCCCTATTTAATAGTCTCACTGAGTTTGTCTGTACAAAAGGCAGAGCCAAATTTCTGTAAAAAAAGATGAAGCCTGCAATGCAGCAGACAAAGGTGGATAACTGTATCCATGGTAAGAAAAGTGGGTTTATTATGTAACAAACAAGAGTGGTGGTTATAGCAATGGTGAGGAGATAAAGTTATCAGGAAAGAGCTTATCATGTAGCAAGCATAGGGACTTGGGCTTTCTACTAAAGACCAAAAAGAGCCCAACCTCTTCCAGAAGACAAGAACAAAGCCCAGTTACTGTTTGACCAAAGATGAAGGTAGATGACAGAACATCAGAGAGAATGATACTGCTGTTCATCAGACTATTCCTTACTTTTATTCCATCTGTGCTAGCTCAGAACCCTGGAGTGTTCCACATCAGGCCAGAAAAAGGGGGTGATTACTGTTTCCTTTTCCCTTCACAATGGATAAAATCATATCAGGAAGACAACAAGAAAGGCTGGTTTGACCTTGAGTCATTTACTCAGAACTTCACCTATTCAGCCATGTGTTGCTTGCCTTCATTCTTTGGGGAAGATGACAATGATGGTGGTGGATTTAGT